TCTCACTATGTTGTAAATTGAGTATTCTGACATCCATTGATGGAAATAAGTAGTTGTTAAAAATTACATAATGATATAGTATACTACAAAAAAGCACTGATTCCTCTAGGTTTTTCTTCATTTTAGTCTATACTATTACTTTGAAAATTCCTTATATAGTTTGAAATTATTGAAATAGACATATTGTTTTATTTTAAATGTGATGCAACTGTATTAGAATTGAATAGAACAAACAGCTGGAGCTATTCTGCCAGATGATTTTCTAAAGACATCACCATTATAATTTATTTTCATGTTCAGTCATCCTATTGCCTAATTAATCAAATCTCTTATCCTTTTGGCCCTTCCTAACAAATCCACATTAACTATCTGATTTGCCTAGTTACTCAAGCCAGCAACATACAATTATCCTGACATCTCTTTCTGCCCTGACACTAATTATCTATCAGGAGTGTTACACCCTGATGTACTTGCTTGAATCTGTCCATTTTTCTCTTTTCTCGATTCTCGTAGTTCAAGCATGCGTCATCTCTTGCTTGTACCATTATAGTAGCTGATTCACATCCAATCTTGTGTTCTTACAATACATTGTTTATATTTTATTCAGAATGATGTAAATCTGAAGTCAAATGGACACTTACTTCTTGCCTCAGGTTTAATATTTTTCTTTGCCTTCCTAATGACAAAGTATTAAAATACAATCCTGTATTTACATGTTTTTGTAACATGTTGTTAGGTGCCATCAAGTTGGTACCAACTCATAGTGAACTGTGCACAACAGAAGGAAATACTCTCCAGTCCTCACAGTTGTGTGTTAACATTGCTACTGTGTGTTAACATTGCCAGTTTACCTCCAGGGACTGATATCTCCTGACAATATGCATGTTGTTGTTAAGAGCTGTTGAGTCAGTTCCAACCCATAGTGACCCTATATAGGATTTCCAAGGAGCAGCTGGTGAGCTTGAACTGCCGAACTTGTGGTTCAAAAGGCTTCGCAGTCTGGTGCATTAACCCACAGTGCCACACCAGGACTTCAGTAATATGCATAGTAGATCCTATGTGATCCGGCTCCATTCTCTAGCTTCAAATCAATATTTACACTGTTCTCTTAATTATTCTGTATACTTTGGCTACTCTGGCTTTCTTTCATATTATCAGTGATAGATATTTGAAAAAAATTTGGCAAACTCAATGCTAGATTCAAAAATTTCTTTTTAGACTAAATATATATCTTAATTGAAATTACCTTTTAAAAACTACAAATATAAAGTATTGATGATTCAGCTATTATACTATCAGGATTACAGTAGGAATTTTCATGTTTAAAAATTTCATGGAGTCCCTGTGTGATGCAAATGGGCAGTGCTTACAGATGCCAGCCAAACGTTGGAGGTTTGAGCCTACCAACAAGCACCTCAGAATAAAAGACCTGACTGTCCTGGTTTTGAGAAAGCATCCATTAAAAACTTGATGAAGTGTAGTTCTGCTTTTACATACCATGAGTTGGAAAGAGAACATGTTATATACTATGTGGACTTTTAAAATTTTTATTGGGGTATGGGTCAGAATCATCTTTGAGCATATGTACAGTTTGGATTTATGAAAAATACTCAAATTTGCTGTCACCCGTAACTAGGCCTATTAATTTTATGAAGCAAGGATTACTCTGACACCACTTCACGCAGTCCAGTTTCTTTATGGGTCTGTTTGTGTATATAAAGAGTGGGGATGGTGGTTGTTGTTAGTCGTTTCAGAACCCGTAGGGTAAATACCACTGCTAAGGAACCATATTTAGGCACTATGTTGCATTCCAGCTTTACCTTATTAGTTTCATCATCCTTCTTTCCTTAAATTACTTATTTTTTCAAGTTTTCATCTTTTGTTGTTATGAAGTACTTAGAGTAAATTCCGATCCATAACAATGCTGTATAGGGTTTCCAAGGAGCATCTGGTGAGCTTGAACTGTTGACCTTGCGGTTAAAATGGCTTTGTAGTCTGGCGCATTAACCCACAGTGCCACACCAGGACTCTTTTGGGGTGTGATTAAATGAGATAATATGTCGATTATGCTAATAATTTAGCATTTGGTGGTTATGTGCCAAGGAGTTGGTTCCGACTCATAGCAACCCTGCGTAGGGTTTCCGAGGCTGTAAATCTTTACAGGAGTAGAAAGCCTCATCTTTCTCCCACAGAACATGCCGGTAGTTTCGAACTGCTGACTATGAGATTAGCAGCCCATTACCTAACCACTACGCTACCAGAGCACAATGCCTAGAGCATGGTAAATTGCTCAGTAAATATCACTATCAGTTGTAGTGGCAATGTTGATTGATTGTGGTCATGGTCAAATATTCATAATAGTAGACAATATTGTGTTGAAACATATGAAACTACTGGACATGAGGATGGGAGGGTTTTGATTTTGAAGAAACATATCCCTGAAAGAAATCGTGTTAGCATTTTTTTTATTTCTAGATTAAAATTTAAATTTTCTTTACTTTCAGATAATGATGTACCCGCTCTTTTATTTGAATCGAATCGTTCATTGATGTATAGCCCTATGACAATTGCAAGTCATCATCACAGTTCGATGGAGAAGAGATTGCAGGAGATGAAGGAAAAAAGAGAAAATCTTTCCCCTACGTGTAAGTGATTACAGTTTATAAGAGTGAATATTTTACCAAAAGAAATGAATAAATTATAATAGAAATTTAGAAAATAGTTTTCTTTACCTTGTTGTTGTTGTCAAATGCCATCTAGTCAATTCTGGCTCACAGCAACCCATAGGGTTTTGAGGAGCGACTGGTGAGTTTGAACCATCAACTTTATGGTTCAAACCAACCTTGGGGTCCTGAGGTAATTCTACAGCCCTGCACCAGGACTCTTGTCTTTATCTAGATATATTAATTTCTAATTTCAACAAATAGTGAGCTATTTCATGGCAGACTAAGTTATACCTTTTTTTTTTTTTTCAGTAAGTCTTACTTTAAAAAAATTTTTAAACTTTTATCTTCAAAATTTTAAATTAGTTAATATATGAGCACATGTGATAAAACATTCAGCAAGAGAGTTGATAGTAAATACTTACCTTGAATTTCACCTAACTCTGACCATTGATAATCTGTATTTTAAATTGATGCATATTTTCAGATTTTTTAAAGTTATAAATATACATATTTGGTATACCTTTAAACACATGCATTTTTGTTTTATATAATGTATATAAATGTATAATGTCTTTTTTTACCTAAATTGGGTCATGGCAAACATGTTTTCAATCTTCTTTTTTATGTAAGAGTCTTTTTGAGTTTTGGAAAAAACCTGGAAAGGTTTTTCAATTTAGTAGGTATGGACCTGACTTTTATTTTGTTTAATTTTAAGACACTGCAGAGTGGGCTGCAATTGATGCACAACAGCTTCTTGAACCATCTGTTGCTAAATTTCATTTATCCATTTTTCTCTCTATAGATACAATTCTTAATGGCACTGAACAACAACACCCCATTTTTAACTTTGTGCAGTGTACATGGCTTACCATATATATTTAAGTTCATATGAATTCATAAAGGTAGAATTTAGTTTTTGACAGATGATTGTGAAATTACCCTTCAAAAGCTTAGATCCATTTACTTCATCAGTAGTTTATACGACTACCTGTTTTCCTGCAATTGGAAAAAAAGTCTTCAAGACTTTTTTCAGTCTAAAGACTGGAAAAATGGATTTCTTTGTTTGAGTTTGCCTTTGATTACTAGCGAGATTGAACATCATTATGTATGTTATTGGCTGTGATTATTATCAACAGTAATGTGAAGTATATTATGGATTATGTGAGAATGGATAATTAGCAGTGTTCCAAGTAGGTCTCCAAATTGTTTCAACATGTCATTGTATGTTGTTGTTGTGAAGTGCTGTTGAGTTTTGACTCCTAGCGATCCTGCTTAGGGTTTGTGAGGAGTGGCTAATGGGTTTGAACTGCCAACTTTGTGGTTAGTAGTCCAGTGCTTAGCCCACACTGCTCTGCTAATATATGTATATGCGTATTTATATTTATATATATATATATTCATTTCCTTGAAATTTATTGATTCTATTATTTTGCATTATCAATTCAGTCACCTTACTACATCCAAAATAGTTTAAAATTCAGTAACTGACAATTTTATCTCTGTGCTTACCTTCCTTATCTTGACCTATTCTCACCTTCCTTATCTTGATTTATTGTCGTTTGCAAATATTTGTTTAAGTTTTCTTAGGAAAGTTTTTTTTTTGATACTTTTTAAAAATCTTTGGATCTGAGAACAAACATTTCTTTTGTTACCTATCTGTTGAGGAACAACCTTTAAAGTGCTATTTATAATCATATTAGTAAAATTGGTAATATTGGTAATATTTTTTATGATACTACTAATATTTATAAATCTTGGCACTAATAGCATTTTGAACCAGATACTTGTTGTTGTGAAGGATTGCTTTGTGCACTTCAGAATGTCTTGCAGCATTCTTGGCCTCTATCTGCTACATGTCCCATGCCCCCTCACTCTGTCACACTTTGACAGTTGTGAAAATTAAAACTGTCTCCAGACATTGCCAGTTGTACCTTAGGGAAAAAATTACCACTGATTCTAGTATAGAATCAACTTTTATGAGCATCTTTGATGAAAAATCATCATTGTCAAACAGTGAGACAAACTGAAAATACTGGTTTAAGTTTGTTGAGCTCCTTCCTGCCCAGAGACCAACAGTTTGACTTTTCAAGGTCCCTTCTAACTTTTAGGACTCTATGACTTAATGTTTTAGTGATAATAACAATATGGCTTATATAGATTAATATTTTCTGAATCTCATAATCTGTAATAGATTTGAGTAAAATTATTTTTGTGTTTGTTTTATATTAACTGTGGAATATGTAGTATAAGATAATTTGATGTGTATATGAATATTGTGTATCCTATTGATGATATGTACTGAAAAAAGATATAAAGTTGTATCTAATGAAATGTTTTAATTATGCTCTAGCTTCTCAAATGATCGAAAAGTCTCATGAAAGTCCAGTTAACCCTCTGTGTCTAGCAACTTTGGACACTTTTCATGATACTTCATCTTCAGGTAAAATTACTATTTCCTTTGCTGTGATATATGTAAGCTTTGACAGTACTATTGTTTTGGTATTTAAAACTTAATATAAGCATCTCAGATGAGCAAAATATTTAGTTAAAAGTTTTCACTCATGAATTCTCCCACCCCACTGAAATTGGGTATTGTAATAAAATTGGAGCATTAGAAACGACATACAGAAAATCTCCTTTTTGGTTTCATGATTTTTCTACTTGTCATTTACTTTCCTTACACAGAGCCAATTGTTTATTTTTTAAAAAAATTATTTTGATCTTATGTGAAGCAATCTGTATGCAGTTTAAATTGCATATCACTGAGAACAGTAAGAGAATGAAGGGAAAAAATGTTTTAAGCCATGTATAATGAGTATATGGAACATATTGAATTGGGTCAGTAGCTATATAAAGGTTATCAATTAGTTAATGAGATCAAGGACGTCTAATTAGAAGCAGAAAGAGTGATGATAAGATTAATAAAGGTAGAATTGAATATTATACATATGTATATATTTTTTAGTGTGGGACTTTTTTCTCTTTAATAATTTTTCATGGTTATAACTTTGCTGTGATTGTATCATTTTAAAAATAATTTACTTACCCAGCCCACCAAGGGGTCCAGATAAATAGTAGTGACCCCTGAAAGAATTGTTCATTAGCAAAATAAATATTTTGGAATATTTTATTATGAAAGACATAACTGTGGCAAACCACATTGCGGTTTCAAGATACTAGAAGTCTAAACTAAAGCTTACTTTCTATGCATGGTTTATTCTTTCACTCTCTTTGGAGTGTCTTGAAATTACTCACCCATCTATCTTAAAAAATTATAATCCCCTTTTTATTTTGACACTGGTTACATGTATTTATTGTAAGTTAGAAGTAAGTGATGGTGCTAGCTAACTGCATTTTTTTCTATATTCTAGGCCCTGCTTTATTTATCAGCATTTTCGTTTAATTCTCCCTTAACTATGAATTAGGTCCTCATTTTGTAGATGAAAAAATGGAGACAGAAGGATGTTCAAAGATGCTGTACAAGATCACACAGTTCAATTTGTGAATGACAAACCTAGTATTCAGACCTCTAACAGTCTAACTTCAGAGCTTATACTTGTAACATGTCACACTGCTTATCAGCTTTTATAAAAGTGTGATGTCATTGTTGATAAATGCCATCGAGTCAGTTCCAACCCATGGCAACCCTGTGTAGGGTTTCCAAGGAGCAGCTGGTGAGCCTGAACCGCCAACTTTGCTATTCAAACGACTTTGCAGTCCGGCTCATTAACCCACAGTGCCACACCAGTATTCAAAAAGTGTATTAACGTTATTCAATTACTAAAGTTAAAAGCATTATATATTAACAATTACTGATTTAAAGACACAAATTTTCTGATTTGAAAGAGGTGCAGAGCCACTCTTTTACAATAGATTTCCTTTTCCTTGGAGCATACAATTAGGGAAGGGTTTTGATAGTTATTTGCCAGTTTTCTTTTTTAAAACAGAGCTTCATCAGTGATTTGGTCAGAAAATGCTAAGTGAACAGTTAAGTTACCTATAATAGTGTGTAGTACTATGAAGTGAAGACATTTGTTAATTTAGCAAACAACTTGTATTGGGGGTACCAGCATGGGACTAGAAACTTGAGTTTCCAAAATGAACAGCAAGTGTTATTTGTCTGCTAGTAGTTTATAGTTTAGTGTTAGAGACTGAATTAATATAATCACAGTGCAATGTGATATCTACTTTTATAAATTTAGGCAAAGTACTGTATACCAAAGGAGGACATTTCTTACTTGGCCTGGTGAAGTCAGGAAAGGATTCATAGAGTCATTGACATCTAAGTTGGGTTTTAAAGGATGAGTGGTAATTGTCCAGATTAAGGTGATAAGGAAATTATAGGTTTGGAGGTAGAATTTTCGGAATTTTCAGGAAATTGGCAGCAACATCGCATGTCTTCCAAGAACTATATTATGTGGGAAGACAAAATATTAAGATCAAACTACCAAATGGTTAACTTTTGTATATAAATATAATATGGACACTTTAAAAACAAATTGGAGATTGAGTCAACTGTACTAATTGTTTCATGGAAGATTAGAACTTGATCCAGATCTAAAAACAGTAAATCCTGATTTTTAGAATTATTGGTTTCTTTGAGAATTTCATCAAGGATGTACTATCAATGGATGCTCTTTCTGGAAAAGAGTACACATGCAGATGAACCTCCCCAAAAAATTACACATAAAAAAATTTAGATGTCAATTAAACCCTACAACCTTTTGTTCCATCCCTCAGCCCACTTGAAGTCCAGGTTCCATAGGAAAATGTCCTTTTCTTAATTGTGTCCTTAGGTGGAAATGAGAAACAGAATGTGATCAATACTCTGTTTAAAAGTATTACTTTATTGGCCAAGTTAAAATAATTTTTAGAATTATTGAATCTGTTTTTGAAGTTTATTTTTAATTTTTTTCCAGATGAATCCTTTGCTGGTGATTTACACTCATCTTTTTACGATATTTGTGGAAAATCAGGATGTAGAAATCAGGAAATGAAATTGGGAGGACTCAGTAATGAAACTGCAAGTAATATTTGTATGTCTTCACCTGTATTGAGAACAAGTAGTATTCATTCATCACCATCTTGCAGCGACCTCAACAAATTAATACCTCAGGCACCCATGAATAATTTTTCAAATGAAAAAATAAACTGTCAGAGTGATAGTGTAGGTGAAATGGTCACCGCTGAAAAAAAGCAGTCTGAAAGAATATCAGAAGAGATACTTGATGAGAAATACAGTGTGTCTCCTATTTTATTTACAACAGAAGGCCACTCTTTGGTAGACTCAAGACCCAGAAGTTCCTTAGCAAAGAGAAAAAGAATGTCTCCGTACTTATATTCACCTGCAAAAGAAAAATTAAAGCAAAGAAGGTACAATTCTACCACACCAAAATTACAACTATGCAAGTCAGAAAACACTCCACAGGCCACTACCACATCTGTTCCAGAGAGTCCTAATTGTGGCGAGTCTTCATATGAGGATTATTTTTCACCTTCAAATCTTAAGGAAAGGAATTCAAAGAGTCTTCTTGCTGAATTTCAGTCATCCTCAAGCCCTGTTCAGTTCAACAGCAGAAAAAGTCTTTCTAAGAACGAGAGAGCAAGTGTATTAGAAATGTCTGACTTTTCCTCTATGGGTGAAAAATTCAGATCGGTTGACATTAACAATTCAACCACAAAAACTAGCTCCAATCTTCAGAAACCTCCAAACTATGGAGGAAATACTTCTTCGAGTTTCATGACTTCTAAGGGAACATCTACAACTGAAGAGACTCTGGGGTGTTGTAGACAAGGTGATCCTCAGAAAAGAGAAGAGCCATCTCAAGAAGGAAATAACTTTTCTCCTATTGGTGAACTGGTTCATCAAAAAGAATGCCTGCAGAAGGGACACCATGGTAACCTAACTCCTTTGAAAAGAAATGCTAATGAAATGAAAGAATTGACTAATATTAAAAGCATGCAGAAAGAAGGTACCACTTCTAAAATGTTGGAATCTTCTGAAAATGAAACACAACATGATTATAAGCTAAATGCTGTAGAGGACTGTAATGTAGAAATATCTACAGAAGAAACAAAACTCTTATCCAGAGGATATAGTGAAAGTATGTGAATTTCCTTTTCCAAGTACTTTTGTTGTAACAATATGCAATAGTATATATTCATTCATTTAGTACAACTTTTTCATAATTTAAAATTAGTTTTTCAAGTCTTTTCTTCCTTTTTTTTAAAATGGTATTTGTCCAATGATAAAGCTTTTAAATGTTTTAGGGATAGATGACTTACTCTACTCTCCACTATGGAATTTGTGACCTTATTGGTCAAATCTTGTTGTTATTGTTAAGTGTCGTACATTCGGTTCTGATTCATAGTGACCGTGTGTAGGGTTTCCAAGGAGCAGGTGGAGGCCCATAGCACAACAACAGGACTGTCTGATAGTGTAGTGGTTACGAATCGGGCTGCAAACCTTAAGGTTAGCAGTTTGAAACTGCCAGCTGCTCCGCAGGAGAAAGATGAGGTTTTCTGCTCCTGTAAAGACTTACAGCCTCGGAAACGCTGTCCAGGGTCGCTATGAGTCGGAACTGACTCCACGGCACATAACCACCACCACCACCAGTACTAATAATTGGGAAGAGCTCTGGTAGCGTAGTGGTTGTGAATTGGGCTGCGAACCACAGTCAGCAGTTCCAAACTACCAGCTGCTCCGTGAGGGAAGGATGAGGCTTTTTGCTCCAGTAAAGATTTACAGCCTCGAAAATCCTGGACAGGGTCGCTATGAGTCAGAACCCACTCCACGTCACATAACCACCACCACCACTAATAATTGGAATCCTAGTGAGGTGCTGACACTATGGGATAAAGCCCTGAACCACAAAGTCAGTTTGAGCCACAAGGTTGGTAGTGCAAACTCACCAGTCGCTCCTTGGAAACCCTGTGCAGAGTCACTGTGAGTTGGAACTCACTTGACACTTAACAACAACAACAACAAAATGTGAATAATTAAGTAGAGTGAATGCTTTGTCCTTGCTCCTTTTCAGTTCCTCACTATAGCATGATTGTTGTGTAAGAGATTTTTGTTGTTGCTGTTTTTAAATCTTGGTTCATAACAGTGAGGCTATTTATTTTAGAAAGGGAATTAAAGTAGCATAATTGAGCCTGTCAATAAAAGAAGTCATGAAAAAGTTAATTTGGGAATATGTTATAAGTATTTACTTTTGAAGAAGATTTGGGCAACATTGACTTTAAAGAAACATGGTGTAATTAACATTTTTGCCAAGAAGTTGGTTGTAACAGGCCTTGTTTAGCTTCTGCTCATTTTGCTTTAATCATATCATTTAAAATGGATTTGTTCTCATCTGTCATTTACGGGATCATAGCAGTGAAGCGTGTAATGAACTACTTAATTATGGTGAAAGTAGCTATATCTCAAGTTGTCTTAACCACTGTGTTCAAGATGGAGAATTTATGATAGTTGATATAATCACAGATGTATATGGTTCCTCAAAAACAGTCTCACAAGAAATAAATTAAAATAGTTTTGCCATTTTTTTACCTACTATTTATCGGTTGGAATTCTGGTGTAGCGCTGTGGGTTAATGCACTGGACGGCAAACTCAGTTTGAACTGCATAGTTGGCAGTTTGAGCTCACCAGCCACGTCTCGGGAACCCTATAAAGGGTCGCTATGGGTTGGAACCGACTCGACAGCACTTAACAACAATAACATTAATCGTTGGAGTCCTGATGTGACACTGTAGGATAAGTACTGGATTGCTAACCACAAGCTCAGTGGTTCAAACCCAATAGCTACTCCTTAGAAACCCTATACAGGGTCTCTGTAAGTCGGAACTGATTCGATGGCACTTAACAAGAGGAACAATTTGTAGCTTGAGTCCTGGATATGACGCTATACAATAAGCACTAGACTGCTAACAACAACAACATTTATAGCTTCGCTTTTCAAACATATATCAAAAGTAACAAGAAGCTATATTTTCTGTTAGGCTTAGTGTCTGTTTTTAGTCTAGTCCTTCATGGTCATTTAATTTGGAGTTCTGTTATAGTGCTATAGGATAAGCATTGGACTGCTAATCACAAGGTCAGTGGTTCAAACCCACCAGCTGCTCCCTGGAAACCCAGGGTCGCAAAGAGTTGGAAATGACTCAATGAGACTTCACAGTACCATTTTAAAATCATAACTGTAAAGTTCATATAAAACATGTATATTCTTGATATAAAAATAATTAATGTTGTAACTTAGAAATTAAGTAGAAAAGATACATTTTTCAAATAATATGGTGCACCTTGTAATCCCAGTGTTGCAAAGAAAAAGTATAATGTTCCTTGAACTAAGTGTGTACATACTCTCTGTTCTAGAACTTAATCTAGTATATACAGCCCCACAGGATATTAGGATAAATTGGTAGAGGAACTGAGGCAGGCACCTGAGAAGATTTTAGAGATTACTAAAATTAGTGGCGATTTTAAGTTTTTTGTTTTTTTTTTAATTTTAAGATTTTATTGGTTATGTTGTATTTGTCGTCATAAAGTGATGTGCAGATGTGATCCTGGTGTAACTAAATTTGACTCACAAAAGAAAACAGACATTTATATGCCTGAATATAATGACATCCTGTAGAATTACCTGCCTATTTCAGGTTGTGCTAAAGAGAAACAACATTATTGGAGTTCAGGATAAGAAAACATTTTAGATTCTGTCTTAACTAAATATAATCCATTTGTTTTAGTGGTAAAAATAAGAGTCATTGGTGTTGTAAATTGTCCACAGTCAGCTCAGTTGGATGGGTATATTAACTCTCTTTGAGATTCTACCATAGGTAAAACCACATAGCATTCAGGTTAATTTGGAAATGACATACATGCTGAAATTGTGGCAAAATAAAACTATTCTGTACATCAAGTTATGTCTCTCCAAATCTCTTCTGTTGAAATAAAAGTGGTTTCAGTTTTTGTACACCGTTCACTTTTATTTGTCGTGGTTGTTGATATCTAAGATAATAAATAGTATATTATAAAGTTTTAAAGAACAAACTACAAAAGAGATTCAATAGTAAACATTAATTGAACGTGAACTGAGGGAAACCTAAACTGATTGCCATAGAGCTGATTCTGACTCATAGTGATCCTATAGGACCGGATAGAATTACCCATAGGGTTAATAAGGTTAGAGTCTTTAGTCCTGGTGTGGCATTGTGGTTTAATGTGCTGGTTTGCAAGGTCGGTTTGAACCAAGGTTTGTTGGTTCAAGCTTACCAGCCACTCCTCGGAAACCCTATACAGGGCCACTATGAGTCAGAACCAACTCGATGGCACTTAACAACAACAGTCTTTAGGGAAGCAAACTGTTTGCTCCCAGGGAGCCTCTGGTGGGCCGAACCCCAGACCTTTTGGTTAGCAGCAGAGTACTTTAACCAGTGTGCCACCAGGGCTCCTGAACTGAAAGTTTTAGTTTTGCCTTTTAAAATAACAAACTTTGAAATCATTTTACCTAGCAACTTCCTTTTTCAAACTTTGATTATTCTTTAATTTCATAGATAGTATACAAATAACATTTTCACTATAACTAAATTTACTAAAGATAGTAAAATTATCCTTTCTCACCCTATTCACTTATCTTTTTATTTATTTAATAACTATTTAATCTACCCATATTATGTGCCTGGTATGCTCCTAGCTTCTGGGATGATACAGAGAATAAAATAAAGTGCAGTTGTTGTTGTTGTTGTTATGTGCCATCGAGTTGGTTCCGACCTCCTCAAAGAGGTTATATTTGCAGACAGAAATCAACTATAAATATATAACAATGTCAGTTAGTGAGGAAAGTGATATAAATAAAAGTAAGGGCAGTTACATAGATAAAGTTATTAGCGAAGGCTTCTGTGAGCTAACATTTGATCTCAGATGTGTGTGAAATGAATGAAATTTCACCATTTCAGTCTGAAGAAACTTGAATTACAAACATCATGATGTAGAAACAAGCTTGCAGGAACAGCAAGACTGCCACGGTAACACCACCTCATTGAGCTGAAGAAAGACTAGTAGGAAATGAAATCAGAGAGGGAACCTGGAACCAGATCAATGCCCTTTAGCCTTTGAAAAGAACTTTGGGCTGTTATTTTTAAGTGCGATAAGAAATCACTGGAGGAGTTTGAGTAGGAAATAATAAAATCTGGTTTATGTTTTAAATAAAACATTATGGATACTTTATGGAGAATGAACTAAGTTAGAGTGATTGCTAAAAGCAATCACTATAAGCAGTTTCCTTCTAGATATTTTTAGTGTATGTGTATGTTGTTGTTAAGTGCCGTCGAGTCGGTTCCGACCCATAGCAAC